AATAATTTCAAGCGTAAAGTCATTTTCTTCAGAATTTATAGTTTTTGATAGTTTTCTGTTTGTTTCTTGAACTTTCGATCCAAACCAGTTAACTTTAACTGACACTATTGTAAAAAGTTTAGATCCTTTCCAATTTCTGATTAAAAGATTGAGAAGTTTTTTGTTATAAATAGTTACTTCTTGATTAAATTCCAAGCGTTTCAATTTTTTTGGTAACACTTCATTTAAAATTTTTATTATTTTGTCACCATCAAATGTACAATTTGGGTTATGATCAAAAGCAATTAATCTAACAAAATTTATTTTCTTGCACTTGTTGAATATCTCAGTCAACTCTTGATCAAGTTTATTTTGATAGAAAATAGTTAAATATTCTAAATTTTGGCAATTAATGCTTATCAATTGAAGAATTTCTTTCAAGTGTTCTGTATTGTTTGCCATACCCATAATTTCTAATTTCTTGAGATTTTCTTTACGATTTTTCACAAACTCTAATAAACTCGATAAAAATGATTCATCGTATAAATCTAAACTTAAAGATTCTATCTTTGTAAACAGAGATGAGTTTAATTTTCCCTCAATTGAATGGTAACTACGATTAAAATGACTTAATTTTAGATGTTTTAAATTTAGAAAATTTTTTATTAATATAGAGTCTAAGTTGCACCCTCCATGGTTTCCATAAAAAGTTATAGATTTTGAATGTGTTAAAATTGCTTCTTTGAAATAGTCTGAAAAGATTAAATTATAGTAACCAAAAAAGTCCAGTTTCGAAATTTTATTTTGTGCTTTTATTAGTTCGGCTAATTCTCTGTTGTCTGAAGTGCAATGATTTATGAATATTTTTATACTTTTTATATTTTTGCTACTAGAAATTAACCTTTTAATAAATTTATGGTTGTTAGAGAAACCTATGATCAGTTCATTAAGTTTACAGAAACAACTATTGAAATTAGGATCTTCAGTTAACCAATCCCAGTTCATCTCTCCGAAATGATTAGTAAATTCTCTGATTTTTGAATATTTTAAAATGAACTTCATAATCATCTTTAACAGGTCAAAATTATTTTTTCTCCGGAGATATTTTTCAAAAGTAGAAATCCTATTATAATCTAATTTGGTAGCAAATTTAGCATAATTATATAATGGTGGTTCTTTTGGTAAATTAAGAAATTTTAATTCAGGTTTATTTTTAACTAAAAACTTCTTGTCTTCTACTAATAAACAACTTATTATCATCCGAATGCTTCTTTCTGAATGAAACGGATTTCTCCATAACTTGGGAATACTAATTAAATTCCATTGTTTGTTAATTAAAATGCAAGAATATAATGATTTGTAATCATCTTCTAGATATTCGAATATTTCAGTTAAAAGATCAGATGAAAAATTTGTTAAAAGCATTTTCTGGATAATTTTTTTAACAAAAAAAAAATTCTTGTGAGAAGAGGTAGTGATTTCATAGATAATTTTAATTATTTAAAACAACAATAAATTATGTTGCTAATTGTTCAACAACAAGTATCATAATACAGTAAACCCTCCCTAAATGCACCCTCCCTAAATGCACGCACTATGTATACCCTCCATAAATGCACGGCCCATCTCATCCCCAAGCTTATAGAGAGCTTATAAAATCACCCTCCATAAATGCACACGCTCACAAGAAATAGCACTATGTTCCCGAGGGGGTGCACTTATAGAGGGTTCACTGTAGTTCCTTTGTTAATTTAATAAAACTACTTGACTCATAAAGTTAAGTTAAATAAGTAAAAATCTAGAGGGTAGCAACCAAGTAGTAGTTGTTAATTTACATCATAGGTCTTTTATTATGCTATCATTATTTATTTACAACAAAAAAAAATTGATTCTTAATAAAGTAATATAATTATAACAATTGGATTACTATTATAAAATTGAATCAAATGAATCGAATATAAAATGAAAATGAATCGAAAAAATATCTTTTAAATGGTAATATTTTTATCAATAATTGATTCTAATAGTTTTTTGACTTCCTTTTTATTGCAGAAATCCTTCGTCTGTGTTATACTGGCACCAGGAACATATATTGCTGATGAATCAATCACAATTTGGGGTTCTAATGCATTCTGCTAATGACGAGTTTCTTTCCAAGACCTTTTCTTTTTGATGCTATATCAGAAGGAATGTTTCAGAAAAATGATTTTTGTGTGATCTAATAGTAGTGTTGAGAATTAACAATATTTATTATTGTAAGATGACAAATATTTGATATCGTTAAAATAATTATAATTTTCTTTTATAACCAAGGAACGTTTTGGTTTAGTTATTGGTTTTCAAGTTTAATAATTATAATGTAAAAAATTTTCTTTATCAACAAGAAACATTTTGGTTTTTGTTATTAAAAGCTTATACCTTTTCTATTATTCTACAAATATATTTGAAGTTTTGAATTATTGTCACTATAGAATTTTGATATTAATATATATGTATTGAATAAATCGGGAATTCAATATATAAATTGGAAATCGAGATAAAACCAACAATCCTAGTGCTCTGGTAACAATAATATAATACAAAACTTTTTATTATTGTAGAATAATAATAAAAAGGATAAAAAAAAATTGAGTCAAATAAAAGTGTAAATAAAAATGTAAAGGTAATATATAGACAAAATTTATTCAGCTCTTGAGGAATTGACTAATTTTTATAACAAAATTAAAATATTCAAAAATTCTGCAAAACAACGAATCATATGAATTATTAAGATGCAACGAAGATTGAGACCGGTTTTCTCAAATTCTTTTGAATTGGCATCCAAAAACATAATCTATCATTAGGAAGTATAAAAAGCATAGCTTTTCATTTCCTTTAAGATGCCTTAATAAACCGTACAAGCGTACGGATGCTGATCCAGAGAAACGTCCTCGTCGGATGAGCTTGACATATTAATATGAATACATTTCAAAAATCTTATTGACAACAAGATTTTTTTTATCGATATATTTGTAACAATTTAAATTGCAACCAAATAATAAATATTTTTTCTTTTTATCAAAGTTGTGTAATAATCTCTAACTTAGATTTCTTAAGAGCTTTAAAATTTATTAAAAGTACACAACTTAAAGCAACAAGATATAATAATTTCAATGGATTCCTCGTAATGATTTAACAAATATTGAAAAGATATGTGAAGGTGGTTGGGGTGGTGTTTGCTGCTGTTGCTGCTGAAACATGTATATTGCGCTTATTTTTTAACAAAATTCATTTAATATAATATGTATGTTTATATATATATAATAAATAATAATAATCTTTTGTTATTTTCGTTCTCGTTATTATTTTTCGGAAATAGATATTGTGATTTGCTAATACTAATACTAATACTAATGCAAAGTGAGTCGTGATAAATATTATTATTATGCTGAAAATTTACACGTTCCCCTAAATAATAATCCTTAAATAGGAATTCTTTCATAGCTATTTATCCCAAATATATTCTCAAATATATATTAATATTAAACTTTTATTATGTTGTGTAATTGTTGAGATGCAAAATGTGAAATCATCACGCCCTATTATTGTTGTGTTTTAGGGTGTCCCTCGCTCTCAAGCAAGACAATCTCAATAATAACAATAATAATAATAATAATAATAATCAAATCAACCTTGTCTTGTGTTATATATATACACAATATACAAATTATATGTAAGATGCAAAATGAAATGTTATGTGTCCCTCAAGCAAAACACTCACTCTAGATCATCAATCTTGTCTTTGTTGAGTAAAGTTCCGGCTGCGGCGTTTCACGGATTAAATCATTGCATTGATTGTTCAAGTCATCGATTTCTTCATTTTCGTTATCAAAAAATTCAACATATATACTTCTTGGCTTACATCTTTTATTTCTTCTAATGCTTTAATTTTTTTCGTGATATGTGTTCCATTTGACGAAATATTTTTTACACTCTTTGCAATAGAATTTTTTTAAAAATGAAATCAACTCACGTTTATATTTTTTACAGATTAATATTAAGGATTCATCATCATCATATATATAATAAGATTAACAAAGACCATCAATTTAAAAAAAATGCGGATTAATTCTTTTTCTGTAAAAAAAGTGTGGCTTTTTAGCTGAAACTTTATTATTATTGGCGGTGGATAATTTGCAGCAATTATTTTTGGCTAGCTGTCATTTAAAACAAAATAAGCAATACTAATACTGTATTATAATACCAATTGATTTTTATATATATTTAATTACAGGCAATGAATGATTGTAAAATTAAATCAAGGTTGATTGCTCAGTGTTATGGTATAACTAAATTCCCAGATAATGGAAATTATGCATTTGTTTTAATTTAAAAAAACCTAACAACAATATTTTATGTTTGCATGAAAAAGATTTAATCCATTGTGATTTACATAGTGGTAATATACTATTGCAAGGAGGTAAGTGTTTTATTACATATTTGGGATTATGTGGACCAGTTGATGACAAATCACCAGATAAAGTCTATTACTATGGAATTGTATCATATGTTGCACCCGAAGTACTAAAGGCAAAAAAAACACCAAAGAGTCTGATATCTATAGTGTTGCAAATGATGCAGAGGTGTTGGGATGTGGATCCATCAAAAAGACCAACTAGTAGAAAGCTGAGTGACTTTGCTCAGAGCTGGAGAAGAGGGTTCAGGAAAATAAGACGCGTAAGTTTTCGAACAACAACATCGAAAAGAAGAGAAACAACATCGAGGGGAAGAAGAACAACATCGGGAAGAGGAAGGGGTAAAGTTTTGGCTGCGGCGTTTTGTGGATTAAATCATTGCATTGATTGTTCAAGTCTTTGATTTCTCATTTTCTGTTATCAAAAAATTCAGCATATATACTTCTTAGCTTACATCTTTTTTTATTTCTTCTAATGCTTTAATTTTTTTCGTCATGTGTGTTCCATTTGACGAAATCTTCAGACGAAGATGATGTCGCAATCAAGAAAGATAAAATATTAGTTGAAATGATTGATGAGGGCGAGGGAGAAAATAATGGAGATTACATTATTGCGGAAGATGATGATATTGAAGTCTTGTATATTAATATTAATATAATTAGATTAACAAAGACCATCAATTTTTTAAAAAAAAGTGGATTAAGTCATCAGAATATCAATTAAAAAATTACGATATTTTGACCAAACAAAAGATTAAAGAATACAAAGATATAAATGAAAAGACACAAATAGCTAATACCCAACTTGAGTTAATAAGAGCTGAGATGGGTCAGATTATATAGAAATGGACTGGTTTAAACTTCAGTCCCTATTTTGAAAAAAAATACCATTTCAAAACTGTTTTCACATGAAAATTTACACGTTCCCCTAAATAATAATCCTTAAATAGGAATTCTTTCATAGCTATTTATCCCAAATATATTCTCAAATATATATTAATATTAAACTTTTATTATGTTGTGTAATTGTTGAGATGCAAAATGTGAAATCATCACGCCCTATTATTGTTGTGTTTTAGGGTGTCCCTCGCTCTCAAGCAAGACAATCTCAATAATAACAATAATAATAATAATAATAATAATCAAATCAACCTTGTCTTGTGTTATATATATACACAATATACAAATTATATGTAAGATGCAAAATGAAATGTTATGTGTCCCTCAAGCAAAACACTCACTCTAGATCATCAATCTTGTCTTTGTTGAGTAAAGTTCCGGCTGCGGCGTTTCACGGATTAAATCATTGCATTGATTGTTCAAGTCATCGATTTCTTCATTTTCGTTATCAAAAAATTCAACATATATACTTCTTGGCTTACATCTTTTATTTCTTCTAATGCTTTAATTTTTTTCGTGATATGTGTTCCATTTGACGAAATATTTTTTACACTCTTTGCAATAGAATTTTTTTAAAAATGAAATCAACTCACGTTTATATTTTTTACAGATTAATATTAAGGATTCATCATCATCATATATATAATAAGATTAACAAAGACCATCAATTTAAAAAAAATGCGGATTAATTCTTTTTCTGTAAAAAAAGTGTGGCTTTTTAGCTGAAACTTTATTATTATTGGCGGTGGATAATTTGCAGCAATTATTTTTGGCTAGCTGTCATTTAAAACAAAATAAGCAATACTAATACTGTATTATAATACCAATTGATTTTTATATATATTTAATTACAGGCAATGAATGATTGTAAAATTAAATCAAGGTTGATTGCTCAGTGTTATGGTATAACTAAATTCCCAGATAATGGAAATTATGCATTTGTTTTAATTTAAAAAAACCTAACAACAATATTTTATGTTTGCATGAAAAAGATTTAATCCATTGTGATTTACATAGTGGTAATATACTATTGCAAGGAGGTAAGTGTTTTATTACATATTTGGGATTATGTGGACCAGTTGATGACAAATCACCAGATAAAGTCTATTACTATGGAATTGTATCATATGTTGCACCCGAAGTACTAAAGGCAAAAAAAACACCAAAGAGTCTGATATCTATAGTGTTGCAAATGATGCAGAGGTGTTGGGATGTGGATCCATCAAAAAGACCAACTAGTAGAAAGCTGAGTGACTTTGCTCAGAGCTGGAGAAGAGGGTTCAGGAAAATAAGACGCGTAAGTTTTCGAACAACAACATCGAAAAGAAGAGAAACAACATCGAGGGGAAGAAGAACAACATCGGGAAGAGGAAGGGGTAAAGTTTTGGCTGCGGCGTTTTGTGGATTAAATCATTGCATTGATTGTTCAAGTCTTTGATTTCTCATTTTCTGTTATCAAAAAATTCAGCATATATACTTCTTAGCTTACATCTTTTTTTATTTCTTCTAATGCTTTAATTTTTTTCGTCATGTGTGTTCCATTTGACGAAATCTTCAGACGAAGATGATGTCGCAATCAAGAAAGATAAAATATTAGTTGAAATGATTGATGAGGGCGAGGGAGAAAATAATGGAGATTACATTATTGCGGAAGATGATGATATTGAAGTCTTGTATATTAATATTAATATAATTAGATTAACAAAGACCATCAATTTTTTAAAAAAAAGTGGATTAAGTCATCAGAATATCAATTAAAAAATTACGATATTTTGACCAAACAAAAGATTAAAGAATACAAAGATATAAATGAAAAGACACAAATAGCTAATACCCAACTTGAGTTAATAAGAGCTGAGATGGGTCAGATTATATAGAAATGGACTGGTTTAAACTTCAGTCCCTATTTTGAAAAAAAATACCATTTCAAAACTGTTTTCACATGATAAAGACTGGATTTGAATTGGATCTGAGCTTGATCTCCAATTTAGAGAGGTAACAACTATATACTGGCGAAGTTTCAGAAGCAATGAGTTCTGTACAACATTTCGTGTAACAACAAACTTTACATTATTTAAAAAAAATATTTTAATTGTTTATTGAAATAATTATAAATTAATATTTTAAATACAATACAAACTCCTGTTTTTAAAATGAAACGTGACAAAAAAAATATGAACGTATTAGTTCTCATGTTTAGGCAAATAATACATATTTTTGTGACAATTATTTATAAATATATTATTGTATAGTTTCTTCTCAAATTTTTATTCTTTAAATAAAAAATAAAATGCTATCAGAATACGACAGAGTTTTTTACTTGACGACGTATATATTTGGTGTAGCTTCAATGGTAAATAAATCTTGAAAATTTAAAAAAACGTAACCAATCCTTTTAACCTTCATTGAATGTTGTTAGGTATTTTATCATAATGCCATGATTTTAATTTTAAGAATACGTAAAAGACCAATAAACATTTCTGATATTGAAGGATCATTTTCAACTTTACAGGAAGGGATTCGACTTACTCTTCAATTCGTATACTACGTACTACCGCCATTTGTCGACCTGTCGGCATGTAAAATCATCTCATTTGTTTTACGTGATCATTTTTCTGATTTATAGATCTCCTCTATCTGCATTTTTATAAAATGTATTAGTGATACAAAGTTCGACAAGCAGATTGTTTATTTTTTTTTTTTTTATAAGAACGATTTTACAAGTAACTATATATACAGTATATATATAATTATAATTATATCCTATACTATCATATAATAAATAATAACCGTGTGTTTGTTTTTTAGATATACATTTTCTTATTAGAACCAACAATTACTTTGAAATCTTCACCACCAAATCCTCGTCCTGTTTATTGTGATCCGAATTTTTGAACAAATTTAGTTATGTGGGATTGGATTTCTTGATTGATGTTTATGTATCAGTTCGATTATTCAGAATAATGGGCTCAGCCAATAAAACTTTAAGCAGTACTATCAACGATTGTAAAAGTACAAGTACTAGTGTTAATCATGTTAAGCATAAAAAATCCAATCTGACAATATATTCAGCTGTCTTATACTGGAATCTATCCAGAATTTTTATTGCAACTTTATTGAATGTTAATACAGTTATAGATGCATTTAGACTATTTGATTTAGATTCTGTATTCAATTATTCGTTGAATTTTGTTATTTGTATTGCAATGTCTTATCTTATTACCTATGATAAAGATTTTGTGAGATATATTGCTGGGAAGAACACTTTAGTTGCGAATTAATAATTATTATTAAATATAATATCAATAACTTCTTTTGAAGTAGACATACGACCAGTTTTCTTGTTCAAATAATTTCTTCAAATGTTGTATATATATACTGTATATCTCTCTTTTTATAAAAAATAATGAGCATTTTTAATTGTGCGTCCCTGATTCAAAAATAATTATATCTAACAATAACAACTCGAGTGTAACTTTGCCAATTGTGCAATTGCCATTTAACATTTATTTGGACAAAATCAATTTATTGAATAACAAATTCTTATGATTAATATATATATATACGTATATAAAGGATGAATTTACATTTTAAAAAAATAAAAAAATAAATAAAAAATCCCTCTTGCAAATAAAATATCTATCAAAGAAAAAAAAATTTTTCCCAAAATTATGGATGCCATGTTGGAACTTAATATTTCTGTATTAACAACCATAGCTGAGGAATTAACTGAAGAAAATCAGAAATTAATTAAAGAAAATCAGAAATTAACTAAAAAAAATCAGAAATTAACTACAGTATATATAAAAAAACTGACATTGAATTGTGTAACGAATATCTTGACTTTTTAATAACTCCATAACGATTTTTGGAAATTTCTGTGATGATCACCATTACCTTTTAAAATAAATAATAATATGGAACACCCACTCGTGCCACCAGTGTTGAGAATACCTTTATTCACCAAGCACCAGAAAAAACATTATACTTCACTCTGTTTGTCAACCGTCGATGGTATCTATGTGCAGTATGGCGTAGAACTATATTGATGGTGATTCCAAGAAATAGCATGGGCAATGGATGAGATTTAAAAAAGTGATGTGCAGGGAACAGAAGCCGCTTCATTTCATCTAATATCTTTAGTAAAATACTAAAAGTAATTGCAAAATCATTCATCATCTAATATCAAATGGTATCGTGGCTTTTCTAATGCAATAACAGATTGGTTTGAGTTTAGGAAAAATTATTGCTAACGCTTAAGCAAGGTTATGGACTGCTGTGAACTAGTTAAATCCGCGCATTGTTAAAATCATAGTTATTATGTCTAAAATTCAAAGATCTTAATCTTTATCGAAATAGAAGTACCAATATTCAATTTTCCAGATTCATTAATATCAAGGATATAACTCTATGTAAAGTTGTCCATTCATGTCCAGATCCATGAGATCTAATGCTTGGTTTCTCTAGAATATCTGATGTGTCATTATCATAGCTTGCCAAATAAAAACCAAAAATCAGAATAATAAAAAGAAAACTTCCTTTCATATTCGGAAATCGTCCAAATTGTACCATTTCCAAAAAAAGATAAAATGTCCCAAAACAATTGTAGTAAAGACACTTGCCGTAAATGATTGGGTTGGTATCTACCATTTGCCGTAAATAGCTGGTAGTAGCTACCATTTACCGTAAATAAATGACGGCTACCGCAAATAGATACGGTTACCGCAAATAAGTTTCAAGATTAATATAATTAATTAGTATTATTAGTCATATTAGTTGTGAGAAAATTTTCTTGTGATCCGCAGTAACTAAATTTTTTGAATTGTAATTTATGAATTTAATTTGTCGGTCGTTTGTGAAAAATAAAATTTGCAATTAATTATTTGCGGCAGCCGTAATTATTTTATAATGGTAACTACCCTATGGTAGTTACCATTGCCGCAAATAACCAATTACGGCAGGTGTCTTTACATCATTGAAATTTGTAAAAACAGGTGTTGAACTTGAATATTCAAGTTATCGTGTAATTAATTCTAATGAATAAAAACATTTCATTGGAACAAATAAAAAATTTTAAAAAATATAATTTATATTTTCAAAGATTGATGTTATAATAAACCTCATTTTTAATTTTTCAAAAAAATCATTTAACCATTCAAAGAGCTTGCTCTTCACTTATATTTGATTCTAATATTAAAATGCAATAATTTTAAATGATTAGTATAGCGATATATTAGTTTGTGTGATTTTTTTATGTTGTATAATAATAAATAACATAATATAAATAACATTCATAATATAAATAATAATAATATTAATATAATAATTCTTTTTTTTTTGTGCTAAAGCGAGGCCTTGAGATTAATATAATAATATAATAATATAATAATAATAACAATTAATAAATTTACCCGAGTATTAAAAAATTACAAAATAATACAATAAGATTTTTCTCAAAAAAAATATCAATTATTATTACACTTAAAATTTTTTTCACAGCAATTTGAAGATTTGAAATTTTGGTTATTATTTTTTTCAATTATAAGTTCTTCATTATTTTTTTTGTCTTTCTCATTACAACATTTATCTACTTTTACTGATTTGACATCACTATTATCTTGACCATCATCATCATCATTATTGGATTGATTTATTGTAGACTCAATAGATTCTCTGGAGACCCCAGATTTATCTTCACTATTATTAGAAATTTCTATTGTAATCCTACATCCTTTCTCATTATCGCAACATCCACCATTTTTGTCTCCGTCTTTATTGTTGCAATTGTTTTTAATTAAATCATTTTTACAACATCCCCCATTAAAATCTTTACTTTTTGCCCAAATAATCATTTCTATCCCTTCTTTTGCAAACAATACTGTTAAAATCAATGCTACACTAGGATCTATCCACCATAAATTTTTCCAAACTAAATAAATTAAACTGCCTAAAAATAAAACCAATGATATTACAATACATCCTAATGAACATTTAGCATCTGATGCTATTGTAGATGAATTAAGTAATTTGCCAAGATAATATTTGAATATCCAGAGAAAACCCATAAATGATATTGATATACATGAAATAATTAATCCTACTAATGATGTCTCAGGAACTTTCCTTTGCACTAATGAAATTATTGAATTGGAAAACGTTCCAATTGCAAGCATACAAAATAATATTCCTATACCAATTGTGGCCTTTCTCTCAATATCAATTAATTTCTCTAAAGTCATATTTTCTTTATCTGACCTTAATTCATTTAATAACCTCCATAATACTAGAAATGCTGATGCAACTTCAATAAATGAATCTATTCCAAAAAATAACAAACTAATCAATTTATCCTCCAATCCAAATACTACTGAAATCGCTCCTTCAACTATATTCCATAAAATTGTAAAAATTGATACTACAATTACAAACCGAAGTAGTTTTGATCGAGGAGTCGAGCTAAATCTTGATATTATTGTAAATTTCATTATTTTTTTAATTTCTGAGAGGAATTCAAGAAAAAAAATATTTGTGAATATTTTTGATAAAGATCTTCACAATTTTATATGTTGTACGTGAAAATGAAATTATGTGAATTTGAATTTCACACATGTAAATTTGAATTTCACATATGTGAATTGCGAATTCACATAATTTCATTTTCACGTACAACAGTAGCAAAGTGTAAACAGTTTCTTTTTTTTTTTGTAACAATTCACAAATGATTATCAATTGATAATAAATAGTTAACTTGTTATTATTATGAAACTGAAAACCAACGAGCACCCATTATAGGAATTTATCGTGCCACGACAAAATTTATATTATCACTCTTTTTATTTCTAATATTAATAGAGAAAATTCATATAATAATATTAATATTAAATATAAAACTTTTCAAATGTGTTTCATCTTTTTAATATATTAATATTAATATGGTATATAATCATCGCGTAGAACTGCCCAAAAAAATTATATTTTGAATTTTATTAAAAGCTTCATGTATTGTTTTTATATATTTTTGAATTGTATTATAATTTATGCATTGTTTAGACTTTATATATATATATCTCTTTTAAATTAATGTTGGGGAATCAAGTGCCTGGTGCATCCAAATAATTTTCAAAATGAAACCTAATTTATTCTTCTTTATTTTAATTGTCATCTCTTACATAATAAAAGTATCTGGAGATAAAGAACTTAATAAGAATTTATTATGTAAAAACAAAAAATTAACAAACGGTCAACAAATTCGTCAAGGATCTTGCTCACAAACAATACAAGGAGAAATCCCATCTGTCAATAAAATGCCATCAACGTTAATAATAGAACCAATTAATGGTCAAATACTAAAATCACAACAATCATTTAGAGTTAAAACAAAAACTTCAAATTTAATAACCGGTTTCTTCACCGATCCAAATGAAAAATATTATACCGAACCTCAACAGTTGAAAAATGGCGTGATCAAAGGACATTCTCACATTACCATACAAAAACTTGATGGTAATAATTTACCTGATGCAAAGGATTTTGCATTCTTCAAAGGATTGGATCAACCAGATAAAAATGGAATTTTATCAGTTAAAGTAAAAGGGTTATCACCCGGTGATTATAGAATTTGTACTTTAGTCTCATCATTCTCTCATCAACCTGTGATAATGCCAGTTGCAAAACGTGGTTCACAAGATGATTGTATCAGAATTAAAATTAAAAGAAAAAAGAAATTATAAAATTAGATTAAATTTTTTCTTGTCTGTTATTATCAGTATCCTGTAACTTTTCAGCTATTATTATTTAATGGTGATAGTTATTGAAAAATTCACTCGTCAAATATTAATAAACAGTTTCCAAATGACAAAATATACAAAAAAAAAAGAAAAAAATTTGGTTGCAATTAATCAAGGAAGTCACCTTTGAAATTTATTATATAGTTAAATTTTGGAGGGTGTTTGGATACAAAATATTTATTATTATTAAAAAAGTGTAACTAAAATTGAACAATATTATCCAGATGTTGTGGGTTCGTTGTTATTATGACAGATGTCATTCTTGATAATGTTTATATTTTGTGCTCGGTATTTTTCGCAATCTTAAAACTGAAATTATGGTATTATTTGGAATTTCAAATCATCTTGTATTGTTTTTTTTTTAAAAGCATTCGCATATAATTAATATAAATACATCTTCCTGATGTTAATAATTACTATTATTATGAATTTTCAGATATAAATGACAACATTAATATTAACAACCTTTCGGATTAATATTTATATATACACGGCAGGGCTGTGTACAAAATGAGTAAAAATCATATACTTAAATTATTTAAAAGAGATCCATTAGTTGCTATAACAATTTCCCTTATAATATTATCGAGCATACTTTTATCCATTTTGTTGATTGGTAGTTTAAATTTTATTTATTTATCAAGACATGCATTTGATGAATCCGAACCAATCTGTTATAAAGAAGCGACACATGACATTTACCTTGTATTCATATTGTGTTGATAATGCTTGTTCCGATCCTTCTTTAGCACATAACTTTGATAAAAGTAAGTAAATAAAATTAATATAATTTTTATTATTTGATATTGATCCATCTATATTTTATTTTATTTTCTTTAAGTACCTTCTATCTCCGAAATTGGTGGCGATACAATTAATATTAATAAAATAGTAAACGAAATATTACCAATAATGTTAGAAGAAATTAAAAATTTTAAGCCTCAAATGTCAACTGTTAATTTTGTTGATTTTTTCTCTACTCCATATTTAATAGTTCTTATCATAAATATCATTATTCTTTTTTCATTTCATTATAATATACATCATGTAGTGATCATAGTTCTTTTAATATTTTCTTTAATTCTTAATACTCTCGCCCTGATATTTGATATATTGTTATTTGTATGGGT